ATTCAAATGGTAATGAAAAATCAATGACGCATGTTTGTACATTATTTTTTAATCCTGGACTCGTTAATGGTACTTCTCTAAGATTAGATAGGGACAGTAATGGGGAAGAAAATTTAGTGTCAGTGCCTTCTGGTTCGTAACATTTAAGCTTTTTATTACAGTCTCTCATCATGTATTTCATGAAACCTCTCCTTCTATTAATTCCTGATTGCAGAAATGCATATATAACTCTAATAATTTTTAAACTTATTACATTGCTCAATGGATAGGAATAATCCTCTATTTGTACAGGACAAATATATAAACGTCGAACCAACAAGTCCCTAAAATATGCAGGATAATTGCCCATAAGAAATTCATCTACAAACAAATTAGGTACATTAGCTAGTGCATTAGTGGTAGCAGATTCTGACCCCTTTAAGCATGTCTAATATTTCAACTTCGTCTTCTTCCTCTTCTTCTTCTTCTTCTGCTGATTCAAAGTCTCCATTTTTATCAGTTTCTTCTATGTACATTAGAATGTGTTGTGGCACGAGCTGCATATTCCTGTGAAAACCCCAATGGAAGTAAGCAAGTATTTCTGTAGATGCATTTGTATAGCCATTTTTTGTCTTACGGTTTTAGGTGATCTACATAGTATTCCAATGAGTGCTTTGTTCAAGGTGTAGAATCCGCTCAACCATTGTAAAGTTGCTTCTATACAATACTGACGATTACTATACCTTTTTCTTGTTATTCGTCGTATCTTTAAATAACGAAAGAGGTTTCTAAATGTACCACGTTTTACATAATCATTGCCTAGTAATATTGCAGCTAATGGCAGTGTAGATTGACTTAAACCTCTATAAGAATTTAATAAGTGTTCAACTTTATAAATTTTACAACGTTTCGTGTAACCATTTCCAGTTGAACTTTTCACCGTGTAATTGTCCAATGTATCAAACGGTATGTGCAATGTCCCAAACACATAAAAATCTGAATTATAACTCGATACAGGACAATTCAATATCCTTGCTACGGTAGCTATAGCATTATCAGCTTCGAATAAGCATTGCACATGACGAATATTCTTCTTTCTCCTAACATCTTTGAAAACTTCCTAAATATGTAAAGGAAAAAATTTCATTTTCTGTTGACAGATCGGAGAATAAGATGATGCTGTACGAACCTTTTCTCCAGTTCTACATATAACTGTTTGCAGTTTCTTATCCTCGCAACCACCATCGATCAAAACTAATGGTACTACATTGCACTTTATCAAATCGTCAAAAAAATCCGATACTCGTTGAGCATATTTATCGTAATCACCGCCAAAAACACAATTGCACTTGTACGAAATATATATTTGACAGCTAAATAACTAAATACGTATCACGTAGCTCGAAATATTCCAAATAACGATCTGAACGATTGTTTATGAAAGTTGTTAAACCCGGAATACCCATTTTGAAACCTATTTATTAATTTACACTTTTCTTAATGTTTCATATCACAAACTAAGTTCGTTATGCGTATATCAATATTAGTTATGCATTTATACATAGGTTACATGTAACAGGTACTCAAATTTTGTGTCATTCGTTATTTTATTTGAATCAAAAGTTTGTTAAATATTATACTTTGACTACTTGGATAAATCAAAGAAATACAAGAGCTGTGCATAATGTTTTTGCATTGATCTTTACGATATTACAAACCGGTATAATAAAAATAAAATTAGATAGTATACTGGTCTTGCATAATTAAGTGCATTGACGGGCGACAATACTAACGACGAATTTCCTTCCTATACATATAGGCAAATATACCATGTTCAGTTTTATTGCATAACTTGTTCCATAACAGAGATGTAAAGTGTCGCTGAATTGTTAAATATAAAAGTCGGTAACAAAACAGAGATGTAAAGTGTCTCTGAGTTGTTAAATATAAAAGTTGTTACAAAACAGAGATGTAAAGTGTCTGTGAGTTGTTAAATATAAAAGTTGTTACAAAACAGAGATGTAGTGTCTCTGAATTGTTAAATATAAAAGTTGTTACAAAACAGAGATGTAAAGTGTCTCTGAGTTGTTAAATATAAAAGTTGTTACAAAACAGAGATGTAAAGTGTCTGTGAGTTGTTAAATATAAAAGTTGTTACAAAACAGAGATGTAAAGTGTCTCTGAGTTGTTAAATATAAAAGTTGTTACAAAACAGAGATGTAAAGTGTCTCTGAGTTGTTAAATATAAAAGTTGTTCAGTTCATTGCATAAGTTGTTCCCACGAATGAGATTTTCTTGGTCTTTAAAAAGACCGGTTTTCTCCCTTGCCCGCTGCTCGTGAAACATCTTCTTGGCCGCCATCTTCGATTTTGATCGAATGTAAATCTTCAATTAAATTCTTCATCTCGATGCGGTCCGTCTTGCTTGGTGGTTGGGAGATAACTCCCGCGCGAGGGCCTCAGGGGGCTCTTATAACGTTTCAAGGTGGACGGACGATGGTCGCCCCCAGCGGACTGGCTGCTGATTGGCTCGTTGATTCTTTGGCTTGACTGCATAAAAGTGGACACAGCTGGGCAACTCTTTTCAGTACTCCTGGAACCGCCGGGGGTACTGTCACGCGTTTTTGTTTTCTGTTTCAGATATCTTCTGCGATGCTGACCAGGAAGGAAGGATCACCCTTTGGTTTTGGTATAGATACAATTAATATTAATATAACTAATGAAAATATTGTGTTTTTCTGCATTTTTATGTATATAGGTATTTTCATATTTGGGTTCTTCGTTCATCTAGTTTTATCTATATTAATTACATCGTTGGGTTGATATTTTTCAATTTATTCTATTCTATCTTCGTCTCGCTTTCATCGTTGGTTTGTTCTTTTACGATTTATTTTGTTATTCGTCTTGCGCTTCGTTGGTTTTTTAATTTTCAAAATTAATCTATAATTCAAAGTACACATCGTTGGTTTCTTTTTTTCGAATGATTCGTTTCGTTAATTTACTTCGTTGGATTGTTCCAATTCCTTATTTCAAACTAATTTGTTATTTAGGTTTTATTATTTGTCTACATGTACACATAACTACTAATTTTTATTTCAGTTTTTTACCAGATCAATTTCTAGGAGGAGGAGGAGATCAATAGATGACGTCGGATTCATCGGGATTTACACGTAAGCGATTAATTTTAAGGCGCAGCGCGAATGTAAAAATTAACGTCGAATTTTTCTTTTTCCTTCTTTTCCTTGTTTTTCCGATGTTTCCTATATTTCATTAATTCACATTAATTCTCAATTCCACCTACGACGTTAATTTTCAATTTACATTGTATATTATTTTATTTACTGCGTAGATTGCCAAGTAATGAATTAATTAATAGCTTATTTTCCAGTCTCGTTTCCCCGTTTCTAGCTCCGGTCACCGCTGCTTTGATGTAAAAAGCAAGTGATCGGCCGTTTAGATGGTTCGAAGGGTCGGTTGCCGTCCTCTGGTGAGACAATTCTAGGGAAAGAGTCATCGGCCGTAGAGGGGACCTGTTCCTGTCTGCGGTAGCCCCGACTCAGGATCTCTCTCCTGTGTAAGACGTCCCGGGTTGGGTCCTACGGGCTCCCAGCAGGGCGCGTTGGAGAAATGGGGAACCCGTGTCTGGTGCGTCGATTCTCCTCCCCTTCAATTGGACTTGCTAAGAGGTAACGAGCTGCCCCTTTTGACCCGCTATTCGGTACGGTGTCGCACCTCATGTTCCTACTGCACTGTGCAGCATTGTGTCGCGTTTCGTCGTGTCGCGTCTCCCACAATTTCGCTTCATCCTTTGTTTTAGAAAAGTAATTACTTGGCATCTTTTTTTTTGCGTAATCTAGTTTCTAAGTGTGTAAAAAGGAAGGTCGATCGAACTTTGTTCCATCGATCTCACTTTGGGTTTCCAATCGCAGCAACCTCCTCGTGGTGAGACCTGGTAATCGGTGTTACCTTTCAAGAAGAACTTCTTCATTATGGGTAACACCGAGCTAATGGCTGCGAATTTAAAACAATATAAATTTCAGTTTTAATCGAAATCAAAATCAAATGTTGTCTAATACTTTTTTCTAGGTACTACTTCTAGAAAAAATTTAAATGATATAAGTTTTACTATTGTAAAAGTTATGATCGTTTGAAAATTGACAATTTTTCTGAGCATTTTGTCACTGTACGACGTTAAGGAACAACTTTTCGAATATTCTTCGTATTCAACCCCCAAGCAAGACGGACCGTATCGAGATGAAGAATTTAATTGAAGATTTACATTCGATCAAAATCGAAGTTGGCGGCCAAGAAGATGTTTCACGAGCAGCGGCCAAGGGACAAAACCGGTCTTTTTAAAGACCAAGAAAATCTCATTTGTGGGAACAACAACTAGACTGAACAAATAAACTGAACAACTTTTATATTTAACAAATCAGAGACTTTTTACATCTCTGTTTTGGAACAACTTATGTAATAAAACTGAACATGGTATATTTACCTATATAGGCGAAAAATATACAAATACAAATTGAATTTATTGAATTGATATTAAATAAACATTCTTTGCTATAAAATCAAAAAATTATTATTTGAAATAATAGAACAATTAGGAAATAAATCGTTTGAAAATAATTTCGACAGTCTTACTTGATAAACTATATTCAAACGATTTATTTCCAAAGTATTGTTTCATGTCAAACATGATCAGGGGGTCTTGAAACGTGTATTTACGTGTCAATTTTTCATTCATTATGGAGTTTGCTTATATGTATGTGCCTATATTGCTCGAAACGTAAAAATGCCTGGGCAAAGATTCCTATGAACGAGCACATGTGTATGTATACAGGGTGTTCGGCCACCTCTGAAACAAATTTTAATGCCACACAGTATATTTTCGGTAAAGAATTTTTTTCTCAAAAGTACGTAGGATTTCGGGGGTGTCTCCATTCGCCAAAAATAATTGCAATTGACCCCCTTGATCGAAAATCATTTTTCCAGAACGATTTGAAATTGTTGCGCATAAGGTAATCACTCATAAAAATAAATTCAAATATAATTTATATATTAGTAACTTACTGTGAAAGTAATTTTAATTTACAGTACCATGCTATACACTTAGAAGACACGTTTACTGTTTATTTAAACACGTTAGCCTATATATGTTTAAACGTTCTGCATAACATTCAAAGAATTATTGTACATGCTTATTGAAGGTACACAAATTTCTGATGCGAAAGAAATAGATTTTACTTTTCGCATTCGCAATTTACGTTCGAACATCCCTATTAACAATTTTGACAAATGTAAGGTAGCATACAACCTGCATACATATAAATACATACAAATATGCTATAATTAAATAAATTCATATGAAAAATTTACAAATATTAATGCAGTGTTATGCAGAAAATAATAGGAAAACAAAAGGTTTAGTCTTTGGAGTGTTGACTACTAGAGCTAGTTGAACGTGAACGACGCTTGAATTTCGGTTGATTATTCGTGTCCGACGCATTATCACTCTTTCTTCGGTTTTTATCCACATCGTAATTCGAATTTGAATTGTTTGTCCTTCTATAATCATTACGTCTATCATAATATCTGTAATTATCTCTGGCGGGTCTGATCATTCTGTAAGAATCTCGTCTTCGCGGATAATAATTCCTTCTGTTTCTTCGATCGCGACTGTTCCTACGGTCATAATCTCTATCTCGAGATCTCCTACGATCTCGCGATCTTGAACGACCACTTCCGCGTCTTCTGCTCCTATCCCGTGAATCACGTCGCGAAGATCTATCACCGTACGATCGATGCGAATCACGTTTTATTGTTTTCTCAATTTTATGCTTTCCATCTACTTTATCTTTTGCCATAGCATCATTTACGTCCGAACTAGTATTCAAATTATCTTGGTCCTGTTCCATATTTTTATTGTCATCCTTCTTATCGTCCGACTGATCGTTTTCTTTATTTTCCAATTCTTCGGATACGCGTGCATCTGTATCGAACTTGTCCATTATTGGATTATCTTCGTCCGGATTCTCAGTAAATTTTTTAATCCTATCAGCCTCACGTTTCTTCAATTCTTCTTCTTTCTTTAAACGTTCCTTTTCTAATTTCTGAGACGTAATTTTAAATATAGAAACAAATTAATCATGCGAATAGTATTGTATCCCTACTAGCAATCCCTCTGCATACATTTAAATATACATATATGATTACATATTTAATATATACCTGAAATTCATGCAATTTAATGGTACGATTTTGAGCTTGCTTCCAGTGAGGCGGCGTTACGCTTCTCGAACGGCTACGCGATGGTGTATGATATCGCTGGAAATTCATTTACGTGTATTATACAGATAAAGAAAAAGTTATAATACGTTGAAAATAAGATGAATTTCATTGGAACGTATAAAAACATTTGGAAAATATATGTATACATACCGTGCACCATATATACTGCACACAAATACTTACAAATATCCCTCTTCCTTTAAATACGCGACCAGTTTTTCTATTTGATCGTACCCGATCCCTTCCATAATGTTGCCTAAATTCTTTTTGATTCGCATTATTGGTAGGCCCTGCTCTGTATAAAAATTTATTTGCCGGCACTTCAGGAATTTCATCTGGATCGATTTTTGTGACTGAAACTAATGGATGAGGTTTTCCAAGATCATCTTCGTTCGAATCATGAATCTCACCGTCTTCTGATTTTGCTCTTTTTTTACTGCAATATTAGTTATTATATTATGATTATATTTCGTTATTAGATTATTTTATGAGTTTTTAGAATGCGCTATACATATAATATATATATCGTACCTTTTCCTGGCCTTCTTTTTCTTTTTAGACTTTCCTGCATATGAATCGGAATCAGAATCGGAAGAACTACTATCTTTCGTTTCACGTTTCTTTGCTGTAAATTTGAATGAATATTGAGTTTTTCTTTTTACGAAAAATGAAATTTTTTTTATAAAACATTAGACGCACCTCTACTTTTAACCTTCAATACAAGTTCTCCACAATTTACAACCTTCGCATCTTGCAACGGACGGGACATACGGTCTACTGGAAGTCCCTCGATATGTGTAACAATTTCCTGGCCAGACACTACTTCTCCAAAAACCACATGGACACTAAAAAATAGTTACATTCACGTATGAAAATAACGTTTAGAAGTAATTAGAACAATTGAACATATTAGTCATTACTTACTTGTCGAGATGAGGCGCTGGTTGTGTTGTACTACAACAACAAAATATGATTAAGGGGATGAGAGATGAACAGAAAGAGCCAGCTTTCATTGGTCATTGTGTTGTAGTAGTGGTGTGCAGACCCTTCCCTCATGACTACACAGAAATATAGCTAAGTTATTCATTCCTTCGAAGATACTTTTACTTCTATGCTTTTTAATATTCTCCAGACGTCTAACATGACTCGTACAAACTATCAAATATCAAATGACTCTACACGACAGAGTGATGTCGATAATCAAAATAAACAAATTTACTATTAAAGTCAACACACCCAACTTTCCTTTTATTCAATTAACGTATTGCTTGTGATTTATCAGAAGCACGTTTAAATAATATACTAGCCTGAAAGACTGTTAGAATGTAAGAATAAATGTATTAAATTCCTATTACCTTTATCTTTGTAGTTGACAAAGAATAACATCTGCTAGCAGAGAAAAATAATTTTCAGCCAGTAGAAACATTAAAAAATAAAGTCTATATATAAAATATTTTACTTGCAGTTATAGACAATAACCTTTAGTAAGCAGATTATCATTAATAATAACATGCAAAACAAACTTTTAGTAAAACAGAATAACACATTACTGTGGTAACATTTTGGGAGCTGCAGGTATTATAAATTTATCACACCATCCTGCACTTTTTTGGCTACCATGGGAGCCAATAGATTATTTTTTATTATACCGAATACATTCTTATATAAGTTAAGTGAATTACTTTTTTGATAAATACTTACATAAAAAATTGTGAACCATTTGTGTCTCTGTCACGATTTGCCATTGATAGTAAAAATGGTTTATTATGTTTTATAATAAAATTTTCATCTAAAAGAGTATTGTAAAAGTATTGTATTCCATAATATACGTATATACATATATGGAGAATCATAACCATTAATTTACCTGCAAACGTTCCACCATAAATTGACTCGCCTCCTGTTCCATTACCTACTGAAAAATCACCACCTTGAATCATAAAATCTTTAACTACTCTATGAAAAACAATTCCTTTATAATGCAAAGATTTGCCAGTTGTTTTCCCAAGTCCTTTCTCTCCGGTACACAAAGAACGAAAATTTTCGCATGTTATTGGACAAATGTCAGCGAAAAGTTCAAATACTATGCGGCCCATTGGTAGTCCGCCCACCTCTATATCAAAGAATACTCGTGGATTGATGTTAACCATGATGAATTTCCTTGTAAATTCCTAAAAATATTAATAACAGTAAAAGAAATACCAAATTATTTAATAATAGTCTAAAATATTGCAGTTTCTTATATATAATTAAAATGTTCAACGAAAATTTTATAAATTCATTAACAACATTCTAATGCGTAGTAATAAAAAGAGTTGTGCGGACAACAAGTTATTACCGATATGTGAAAGAACAGAAACGCTCGTAAAACTAAAAATGAAACGTTCCGAGTAAGGTTAAAAACGTTCTATAGAAATGCTTCCGTTCACTTAACGAATTATGTATGCACTCTTGTTATAATAAAAGCAACACATCTATCATTTTCTTCCTCGTTAACGTATTTACATTTCCTGTATTAATGCGTATGTACGAACAATATTTAACCAACGTAATTGAAAAGTTAATCGTAAAATACATAGCCCGATGCCATATTGTTGAATCTATACGAAACGGACATTATTAATATGCAGAAACATATCGTTGCCAACAAAAATATATATACGCACTTTTTTCCCTACATTAACACACGATTGATTCGTCCGACTCTTCGAACTGCGTAAGCAGTAAGCACTTTCTTTAGGTAAATTTTTCTTTAATCAACCTATGGGTATTACTTTCGTATATAGAAATTCAAGTATATTTTAATGCGAATGTACGATAGGAAAAGTAACTCGTAGTAAGTTGTTTTTTCATATTTTGATTTGAGAATCGATTAAATTGTTCGAAATCATGATGAAATATTGAAATCATAAAAGAATATCGAATGATTTTCTTATTCGCTAAATCAATTGTACATATGCATATATATGTAAGTATGTACGTATCGCATTATTTTCTACGACGCATAGATAAAATATTGTATGAGTAACAAAGTGAATTTTATATAAATATAAATTTAAATCCTTTTTAAGAACAGTTGATAATAAGCTAAGGGGAGACAGAGAAATCACACGCATTTGATATATTCGTATGAACAAAATCAACACGTAAATGTTGGTAAAAGCAAGGTGACATATGTATGTACTTACAGATGTCGAACATTATGAAGAATTTCTCACTAGAAACATCAACAGTGCAGTATTCAACCAAACGATTCTACGAGATCTTATAATACTAACAAACTTACAAATATAAACTTTGCGGAAATTGTCGTATAATTAAGTAAATGCTTATTACGATTGAGCAAAACATCGAAATTGTTTGTCAGAGTGATTAGACATTTTTTTTATAGACGGATTATAAAGTTAAAAGATTTTTAAACCTTATTTAAAGAAGTTTTCCATAGCATCAATGTGTTTTCTTATTAGTATTAAACAATTATTTTAACATCTAAAACATTTTAGAGCATTATTTTCTTCCTAAATTCTATATACTACAAAGTACTTCATTTTTAAGGTAAGTTATTGCATTAAGCATATAACAATACCCATGACTATCAAGATTCATAAATTCCAGATGTTACGATCATTAACGATTGGCTGGAATAAATTTGCGTAGATACAATTAATAGTACAAAATTGTAAATAGTTGGAAATGTTAACATATGTAACTATGAATCATTTAATTTTATAGGTGCATGGACCACACAAAATTGAACAAATATAATGCAGTCCCAGTTACCAGCTACTCCTCGAAAATTGCCAGTGTTTGTATTTCCCCAAAATATCACTTTCTTTTTAGACGATCAATCCACACACAAACAAGTTTTGACTTTATATAACCCATACGATTTTCCAATAAAATTTAAAGGTATATTTGTGACAGTAACGACAGCTAACAGTTTAAAGACAATTCTAATGCAATTAATTACCATTTGTAGTATTATCTACTGCGCCAAATAAATACAAAGTTATCGATCCAGAAGGAACAATAAAAGCAAGATGTTTTGTGGATATTGTTATAAGACATACTTCCCTTATGTTAAGCAATTGCAATGTCATAGACAAATTTAGAATACAAATGCAAGAACATCCGACTAAACAGGTGATTAAACAGCGGATCTATTGTATATAAAAATCAAAGTAAATACGGTTCTATTACCAAAATAATATAATTCAAGACTCTTGGAAAATTAATAGACTATAGGAAAACGAGATGTGGAAGCTAAACTCCTTCCTGGGACAACGGATAGTACCGGAAGATCAACCCCAGACCCAGAAATGTTTCAGCAACTTCCTATAAATGAAAGCAGACAACAACAATCTTATGCGCTTCTAACTCAAAATAAAACAATTGACAGTAAGTATAAATTGTTTTTCAGAATTAATAGGTTTGATTCAAATTTTCTTGAATAGTAGAAAATAAATTCAATGAATCTGAAATATATTGTTCGATGCATTTAAAGAAACATCAAATGAAGTACTATGTATAATTTTTAGGAGGAACAAATTATGTAGCATTAATTGCTGGTATCATATGTATAGCTGGATTACTTCTACCCACAGAAGGAGAACAATATAATAGAGTGCCTGATTATCTACATCTCTCCATAAACTTTAAATTAATATTTTCATATGTATTAGGTAAGTATATTCTTTATTTATTTTTTATTAAAAATGAAACAAACACGATCTTTTCATCAATTACAGGTTTGGTAACGATTATTATTTTAAGAATGTAATTTTTGGCTTTATATATACGAGACAAAGTTTATACAATGGTTAGAATCATGGGATGAAAGCACAATTAACTTAAGGTTTTTTTGGTATGGAGTTTCTTTTTTGTTACTGGATATACCTGATTCTAGTCTATAAACAATAAGCTATCACGTTATATTGTGAATAATGCTAATATTTATTGACATATTTTAAATATTTTATTCTTTTAATATATGACATTATATAATATATTCTTATTCAAGTTTATGCTTCATTGCCCTGAGTATGCATCAATGAAATTTGTAAATATACTAACGAAATTCAGATGCAGCTATTGCCTTTTTATATATTTCAAATTCAAATAGAAAAATTAATATCTCGTTTTAGTCGAAATGCTTTCTGTATAAAACACATCGCTCATAATTATTTTAGCATTCTCCAAAACACGATCTCATGTACAAATGTATAAATATATTATGTGAAATGGATTTCGAGTTTTAAATACCCTTGAACAAAATGATGTTTCACTTTTATAATTTAATGCAGTGTATATTGTGCGTGTAATATAATTGTTAGAGACCATTTTCCTTTATCGCACGACTGCTACAATATTATTTTGTTGAGTTGTCGACGGCGTGTGTGCTGATCGCCGACTCATCCATGCTTGTTTCGACCAGCGATCTAAGCGTCTTTCTCATTCGATCTTTAGAACTCGAATACGTTTGGCAAATTTAGACGCAACGGGAATCCCAAAGTATTAAAAGAAGAGCTTTTTTTTTATTATCAACATGTATTTATTATTTACATAAGTTACAATGAGACACTTGTGAATAAAATGTGTTACCGAATAAGATGTTCATTCAAATTCTTTAGTCATAAAATATTTTTCTCCTAAGAAATATCATCTTCTCACAAGTATCAGTTGGCTGAATATTAAAATGTACAAACAATATTAGATTACAAAGTATAAATTTTCTAACAAGTATGTTTGAAAAATTGTATTACTCACCTGAAAATCCACAGTGAAAAACTCAAAGATAACTCAAATCCTCGAGTTAACATCACATGAGTTTAAAGCCGATGAATATTTTTTAAACTTTCATTATGAGTTTTGTACTCCATAGAGGCACTAGCTGGAAGATGTAGTACTCTCCTTAATGTGTCTCTAATACGTGTTGTTGTTGCATAATCAGACGCTGTCTTATTCCATACACATATTATGTCTTCCTGTAAAAATAATTAATATAAAATGAATTTTAACATTACGTATGCCACTATTTTAAGGTCGTACAAATAATCTCACTTGAAACCTTATAGATACAACAGCTCCACATATTTCTTCTCCAACCATAAACTGTTCTCCTAGCATAGCTAATATAAGATTTTCCCAACATCTGGATACTAAACCTTTTCGTAATCGTACTATCCATTTACCACCTTTCTGATTTGCCTCATCCTGAAATAAAAGATATATGTTATTATTAAAAATCATAGCTATACTAATCAAGGAAGATTTAAAATATAAAATGATACATATAAAAAGAGTACAGTACATACTTCCCACATTGGTTTTATGCCAACTTTGAAAAGATGAAAGTCTGTGTGTGTTGTTAACTCCGATGGTCGAATTAAATGGCTATAAAGACTCCAAAACTGTTCCACGCTTGCAAACCTACCAACCAATTTTAAATTTTGGTCGTAACTTTGTATGTTTGGTTGTTTACCAGGATTGCGCCGACTATACCATAACGCATACGCATATTGTAATTTGTGCTCGGTTGGACTAATTTCTATATGAGGCTACAATAAATATAAGTATCTGCTATTTAGTAGATGCGTTAGTAACGCATAAAACAATATTAATGAAGTTGAACGGAATAGTGTCAGTTTTTACTTACTATTGAATCTTTCTCAACTTTTTGATTATCTTTTGACTGTGTTTCGTTGTCTCCACTGTCCTCATTACCTTTTAACCTACAAATACTGCTATTATTCACAAAATGAGCTTTAAATAAACTATAAAAATTAATCACAGTATAATCGTACTAATGACTTTTAAACTGCTATTTTGTTTAATTATTTCAATTAATCTTCATAGTAATGTTTTTACGTAACACACGCTGAACAAAAAATTTAATTGTTTTGAAACGTCAAAAAGTAGAAGTAAATAACAATTAGAATTTAAATACACGTGAAAAAGTATTTGGTCCCTGACAAATGTCAGGTTGTAGCACGTTTTGTTAAGTGGAATTTCTTCGAAAATATCATATTAAAACTACTAGCTAACATATCAAATCGCTCGAATAACTGCATGTCAAGTGTAACACAATGCAAGTATGTCGATCAGTTTCGTTTTCCATTTAAAACAAATCTAACCTCTATCTAGCCCACAGAAAAAGGCACGACGAAATAAGGAGAACGCTTTTTTCACTTACGCCTCGAATTTATTGGACATGTTTCGGGCTGTGATACAATTGTATACAGAATATTTATTAAATGTTATAAACTATATATAGTTCAACAAATACAAATAAAAATATAAAGCTTTCTCGCTCTACGTTCCCTTTTCACACGTTCTCTCATATGTATGTTTTCGATAAATTGTTGATCTCCCCGCTACGTTCTTTTTTGTCGCTTTGCATCAGACATTTTACATTGAAATGTTGGTCATACTAAAATTTAATGCTAATGCAGGATATTTGTATTGTTTATATGTACCTAGCATTTTTATAGAATTGTTATTAAAAATGTTATTAAAATCACACGAAATCAGAAACGAACAATAAAATGTACAATCTGTTAACGAATGTTTTTTACAGAGGGCAATGATCAAGATTTTGCAATATTAAATAATAATTTTCTATTGTATAAATACATAAAATTAAATTTTTAGGAAAATAAAATAAATGCTTGTAGTGATTACATATTTATTACAACCATTACATAGAAATAAAAAAATCAATTTACGTTAATTGCTTTTAGCTTTAGTTAGTGAGAATTCTAATTTCAATCTTCTCATGATCTCCTCTCGTTGATAAACAACTTCTTTATAGCACAGTGGTGAAAATATGATCGGGCATTCGTATTGCACTGTTTCGATACACTTGGTGTCGTTAGTACCGTCACGATCGAATCTGAATTGCGAGATAGACTCCACTGAAACGGGAATCAGAATTTCAAATTAAAATCATTTCAAAGTTTAATCGGCTCGTCGATACAAGTTTCAAATTTCAAAAATCTTAACTCACGGCATCCGAATTTGAAGAAAAAACACGTATAATGTTTCGAAGTAATCAAATAACCATTGTTATCTTGTCGTACAGCATAATGTCCGGTCGCTTTATTTCGAATAATTGGTACATGACTCAAACGTTCCGTATACTCGACCGAATATTTCCAGTGATCGTAATTACCACTTTCTGCGATGACATTAAACTTTTCTCTAAAAATATTAATTCAAAGAAATATTTTTCCAGTGTCAATTTTCGTAAAAAAAAAAAAAAAAAAAAAATTGGAACAATTACTTGTTCCTTTACATACATAGTCGGATTTAATTTCTTCATGTTACTAAAATCGGCCACGAATTCCCAAATGTGCATAGGATTTGAATTATGTATCGTACCCTCGAATATTACTTGATGCTTCCTTTTATACATAAAAAGTACATAGAAAATAAGAATCGTTATGCCAGAGTATAATATGTTTCTGGTTTTCCATTTCATTGGATTGATACCCATTTCTAAAATAACAAAGTTTCTATATTACTACTATATTACTACGACGTTTTCATATTTTATATGAAAGAGGAACAAAATATTTTTTACTTACTTGTACTAAATATAAAAACAAAACGAAACAAAAGCAGTTTCTCAAAAATTTTGATACAATAGTTGGCAAACTAATCTTTCTGTTTCATTTAACTTGGAAGAAATTCGTATTTGCTATCACGAACTTCCGGCAGTGATAAACCGTGACGGAGAAATCGCTTTTAAATGTCAGAAGAAGAACTATGATATCGAGTTATTTGTCGCTTCACGATTTGCTACAAAGTACTTAAATTTCTTCCATAGTCTTCGCTCAGCCTCGAAACTTTTCGTGGTGAGATTATATATACATGTTACCCCCACTATTGTATGAAATATTTACACTATGCGTATACATATACATTGTTAGGATAGGTAGTACCGGTAGGCGTCAGAGGGCGCACAGTCGTGCGCGAGTTGGCGTAGCACGCATATGTGAAAGCTAGAATAAATGTGATTGGTAATTAATTGTCAAGAAAAGAATGAAAGATTTACTACTCTTATTGACAAAGAAATATTATTTTTTAAATGTTGAGACTAGATATTTGAAATTGTTGAATGAAATTAAATTATTTTATATACTTGTATGCCTCTCATTCTAAACATAGTAAAAATAATAATATATCAAATCTAATGAACATAGAAAGTAAACCACTAAATCTGATGTTTATTGTTTAATGAATTATGAAAATTATACATACATAAATTTTAATAGAAAGATAAATCTAGTCAAAATTCATTCTGTGTTAGGGATCTTTATTTATTAACATAATTTAATAATTGTTCTTTTCCTAAGTTTCTTAAATATTTGCAATTATAAAAGTGTAAATACATATTGTACAAGACATATTACTTTCTCAGACGATCTAAAATATTTAAATACTTTTTTTATATATACACAACAATAATTTTTATATGTATAATGATTAGCATTTTTCTCCATATAAAAATGTTAGCTTAATATGTATAAAATTATAAAAAAATAATTGTTATATATAAACAACAAGCAATTGCTATTAATTTTATTATGCTTGATTTTAGATAAGTATACATTATGATTTTATACGTTGACAACTTCTTTATGTTGTGACCTTTGTTTTCTTAAGCATAAATTCAACGTGTTGAGGTAACCACGTTTTTAATTCACGCTGCATAGACATATATTTGAAGCTTAACAATCTTACCAAACCATTTTGATAACCAACCACTAGCCACAAGTAACTCCATGCATTTGGATTCCAAGATATCTAGAGTTTTAATAAATCATCGATAATACTGTGCTCAACTACAATATTAGTGTAAAAAAGATAATTGTAATGCTTACTCTATTTACTGACATAAATGGATATTCCTCGATTGGAACTGCTGTTAGTTTTTCCGTGTGTAGTGATTGTGATTGTACATAACGTTCGATACTCTTAAATATAACAACACAAAATATTAATTGTGAAATTATACAAGTTAAACATAACAAGAATGTATATACCTTCAGATTATCACAAAAGATAACTCCGAAACGATTCTTGCATTCGTCATAAGTTTCTGGCATATAGTCATAACCCTTTGATTTCTTTTCATTTGTATTATCATTCTTATTACCATTTTTCGTTTCCAAGTCCACTATTTTGACGTATGAACTTAACTGAAAACATAGTTTATTTTTAACGTTACAGATAAGAAATTATTCCATTAGAAATTTAAATACAAGAGATACCTTTCTTCTTTTCTGTACAGCTTTCTCAATTTCCCTACTACTTAAAAGCTGATGAGGAAAAATCGTTATTATTTCACCAGCTAATGTGCCATGTGCAATGCTATTTGCGTAATCGGAAACTGATAAAGCCTATAGGAGATTTTAATGAGAATTATACTACACTCGGGGAGTATATGTAAAACTACTTTTAACCTACGTACGTATGTAGGGGAATTTGTTGCTAAAATCGGATAATATCTGCATTCTTGACCTCTCAATGGAATTAAATAAGTATTGGTATGCTTGTATCTGTAATAAAATTAATTCCATAATAGTAAATAAGTTCCATCGTCTATTAAAAATACCTTCGGATATTATTTTTTACCCAAGAGCATCGTCGAAACAAATAACAGCACAAGGCCAATGTGTCATCCATGCACCATCCAATATAATACCCTTTTGAATACAATTTTGCGGGGTGCTTGTATCTTCTAGATTCCAAAATTTGAATGCTCTATCTAGGCTGCCTGAAGCTAGATACTTTGCTCCATTAAATGGTACTAATATTACCGCTATAAAAATAATAAAGCTGTTAAGAATTCTGTTTGAAACATTATTATGTTTTTTAAATTTTTCACAAGAAAAAATCAACAAATACTTACTGCTTACAGCGTTACCATGAGCATAAAAATGTTGAAATGCATTTATAAACCATGTACTTTGTCTTTTTTGCATCGATAACGGTGATTTATACGTAAGGTCCCATAATGCAATGTACCCGTTTGAAAATCCTGCTGCAATTGTACTAGTGAAATCGTATTATTTCGTTATTAGAAAATTACAAGAAAAGTGTAGAAACACAATTATAAAAATCTTACTTATGCCCATGTTCTTTGCTCCATGATAACTTGGTGCACTGCCAATTCTGTTTATTGTTATCGTATATCGAAATATTTACAATTAGTGTCATTACTGGATCAGTGTGATATATGGGCCATCTGTAACGACATTACAGATGTTTCACTATGTTTGGATCAACGACATAAGAAGAAGTTTAACAAATGTTTTACTCACTCGTTTTTTTCAGTATTTTTAAACTCAAGTTCCTCTGGAAAGGGTAGAGAATAAATGTATACATTGCCATCCGAGCACGCTGCTGCAAGCATACCCATTCGCTTAAGACTAGAATGACTTTTGTTTTCTTGTTGACAGTTATTCAGATTTTCATCTTGATAACAACCAGACGGACACCATTCCAAACACCATACCGTACCATTGTTGTGCACAACTGCATACGATAAAGCAGGTTCTTTTTTATTATCATTCCTGAAAGAAAATATGGTTTAAAACCAATCGATGTAATTTTATATGATATTTTATTTATATTTGTATTACTAACTCATGATCTAAATGTCCTACATTCCAAATCTGTATCATATTTGCACCAAGATATGCTTTTCCTACAGTGTATTCGCTCTCCATGGTTGGGTGAGTACTGATTGCAACGTACTGATGAGGTTCTTTAGAGTACATCGGTGATGGAATAGGTAACCAAGCTAGAGCCCACACCGGTCCACCAACAAAAAATGTTGCAGTACCTGAACAACAAGTATTCTAATTACAATATATCAGTCTGCGTTGTAATTATATCACAGAATTAAATATAAGCAATTACCTTCATCGAAACCACCTTCGAACCTTTTCCATTGTTTCCATGGAATTTCTGTATTAGACAATACCTCGGGCTTCGTCAATTGTGTTTTCATTCTCATAGAGACTTGTAATCGTGGCAAATATTTAACAATATCCGTGTCTCTTAATAACGTAAAGTGATTGGGAATATGATCTTCAAATAAATAAAGATTATAATTTTTTTGTTCGCTGCAAGGAAAAGTGATGTAATGTATGTTTATCCATATTATAAGGATATAAAGGTTGAAAAATTTGTTAACCGTAGAAATTATAAATATTTACAATTCCATAGTCCAACGTACAGTAGGAAAATAGGGTTCGGTCCACCCAATTTTATACATTAGCTCCTTATTCAAAAATTTCGTTATATAAGAAGATTCTAAAAATAAGAATCGTTAATAAAATTTAATAATTTAAGATTCTTTTTCGTAATGGCATTTACGCTTACTTTCGTCCGAACTACCATTTTCGATTTCTTCTTCGAAATCCGAATATTTGTCAGTTTCTTCCAATGTTATATGTTTTTTCATTACATGTTCGGTCATATTTTCATCAGAGATAGTTGAAAATTTGCATATTTTACATATATAATGCTACAGGAAAAAGAAATACAACCATTTCGTATTTTGAACGCATACAGGTAAAAAAGAATTTTATTATCATTTATAATAAGTTGTACCTCTCGAGGAGTAAAATTGCATTGAGAGAAATGATTGCACATCTCTTCGAACAAAGAACATGTAAAAGTACAACCTACTTGACGACAAGTTACTGTTCCCTTTGTAGACAATTCTTTTCTCCATATACCTTTCCACACTCCTGGTATGGACTTTCTTTGTTCAGGCATTTTTATTATGTGTTTCTGTAACATTAGAGTACAAGTACATTAAACCGAGTTTTTTTAATAGAAAATTATTTAAAAAAAATAGCGCACCAACATAGAGGCGTCAAGTTTCAGTTTCTTCTCGGAAGATGAATTATTATCTTTAGTAAGTTCCGTAAATTCCAAAATTTTAGCCACTGCTCTAAAATTCAAACAGTACGTCAATATTTTATTTTACATAATGTTGATTATACGACTCTTACTTTTCCGCAGCTTTGCGTTTTACTTTTTCATTATCCAAGGTGTATAATTCCAATTGTTTTATTTTGCTTCGCGCCGACTGCCTATGAGATCGTTCATGTATCTCCAAAGAAGATGGCATCATAGTAGCATCACAAATTGGACACTTTACCAACAAAGCCTGTCTCTCCTACAATATATATATATATATAATAGTTGTGTAATTTATTTTACATTGAAATATTTTTGTCATTTTAGAAAAGTATCTTACTTCATCAGATTTGCCACAAAATTGCATATGGGATATAAAGCCATTTGTACTCCGCTTTATAGCACCACATTTTTCACAGGTCAATTGACCCTTCCTTTCTTTATGAGCAGCTATTAATACTTTTTTCAATAATTTAATATCATTTTCAAAATCCTAAAACAGAATATTTCTTAATAAATAAAATAAAAAAATGACGTAGCCATTGTGTTGAAAGTATTTGCTGCGTAAAGTATTTACCATAGGTTCGTCACCCTTCATCCAACACATATTATTATGTTTTAACAACTTGTGCGAGTTCCATTGCCTTATTGGTATTTGCATTTCACACTTGGCACAAGTTACTGGGTCTACCTTAATTAAAAATAATGAATTACGTACAAACATACTGGATAAAGTAACTTGAGCATCTAAAATTGTATAAAACCTACTTCTAATATGCGAGAAGTATTAGTTATTTCAGTAGAATTTTCTTGTTTAATCTTTCCTGTAGTTGTTGGTCCCTTTAATTTTGGTACATACTCAGTATCCAATATAGAATATGACGAGCCTCGACCTCTGCCTCTGCCTCTGCCTCTGCCTCTGCCTCTGCCTCTGCCTCTGCCTCTACCTCTACCTCTAACTCTACCTCTAACTCTAACTCTGTCTTTGCCTCCGTCTTCACCTCCGTCTGCAGTTGTACCCGGTGGTGTACCTCTTTTTTTAACAACATATGAATTTGTAACACTAGTTTCAGTACTACTATCATCACTTAAGCCATCATTACTAATGACATTGTACGATTTTTTATTACGTCTCTTACTATGAACAACTGTTTCCGCAATGGAAACATTATTTATATTTTGTACTGTTTCTAAATTTCCTTCCAATTCATTCCAAGTACTTGAAAGTTGTCGAGGTAGAGAAACTTTTCTAGGTCTGCCCCTTTTTCTTACTACTAAAGAAGTTTGGCTAGTGTTATTTTGATTTATCGGAGTTATATCATTTCTATTCTCAATGGTATTTGAATTAACACACTCTACATATTCAGTACACGATAAATTTCTGTGTCTATTACTCGATTCTTCCATTCTTAAATTTCTTTCGAAATCATTTTGTTTCAGAGCAGTATGTTTAAGTAAAGAGGTACATGTCGATCCCACGTGTATTTCATTACCACTTTTGTCATTCATCTCGACCGTATCTTTTATACTTTTTATCTTAATACACGTGTCACTCATTACATCCTCAGAATTTTGTAAACGATTATCTTTATTATTTTCAATGGTAAAAAAATTTCCAGAAACATTACTGGAATTTAAAGGCAGTGATTTCCTGGTCACAGCTGGCATGTTAGAAGTATCAGCTATATGCGAATCGATTGCAGTTTTGTCTATCTTGTTTTTTATATCAGACCCCCCTTTTATAAACGTCTTCAGATTAATAGTGTCATTCGTTTGAACGGTAGCTGACATAGTACTAGGATTAATTACTTCTCTTTTTTCTCTACTAGGAGTGCCCTTTCTTCTTTGATCGAAGATTTGTTTTTTATTTTTAAACGATTCCTTTTTGTACGTTGTAATATAATCATCAAAATTAGTTTGTTTGCGAATGCGTTTAGATCTATCAAGAAAATTTGTATCAATTTCATACTTACTTTCAGTTCTCTTCTGATTTTCTGAATTTCTATCTAAAATTTTTTTATTACTATGTTGTTTAAACCTTTTATCTACTCCTTGATACTTTGACACATTGTTCGAGGTACTTTGACTGTCTTCCGTGTTACCAGTCATCGATTCTGTTGTAGACTTATCTATATTTCCACTATTATTCTGTTTTCTTTGATCATGAAAATTATCTTTTCCTTGTTCCATGTGGCTTACTTCGGATAGTAGTTTTTCTTCATTTCTATTAAGTCTAGGCACTTTTGTTGCATTTATCCAAGTTTCATTATCCGTATCATCTATCGGTTTACTTTTAGTAACTTGTACAGCCATCCGTGTTTTTGTTACAGTATGTAAATTCGTAGAATCTTGTATAGATTCAGCAGTTTGGCAATCCTTATGTTCTTTTGTTGCAACAGTATTTAGATTATTTTTTTTTTTTATGAATTCTATGGCAGGTACAATACTATCACCTGTAATCAATTTAAAATGAAATATTAAAGTCAACACTTAATCGGTATAAAAACTTACGTAATACCAATAATTAATACATTTACCTTTTACTATAGAATCACTGATACAAATATTTTGTAAAATATTTGGAGGAAGAATGATCATTTTTGTATTTTTGGCTAATGAATAATTTGATTTAATAATAGGTGGATTCATACTATCAGGAGGACTATCAGAATTCATAGATTCTTTATTCATTATTAATGCAATCTAAATGGACATTAAAAACCGTTGTATTTAATCAAAGATATTACATGCTTTATTTCAGTGTACGAATAATTAATTTTCTGTATTATTCTATGATACGATATTTAATTAAAAATTCCATTGCTACGATAGAACGTTTTACAATATAAAAACATATTTGATCGTTTGTTAAAAAAAAATTGACATGTGCAGGATTCGAACGTAAGAACATGTGCCGAAAATGCAAGGTATCTGCAATCAGATCCAAAGTTACATCAATATTGCGGGTTTTTTAAATATAAGTACAAAGAGGAAGTTTGTTGATAGTACTTGAAATATTCATCTAAATCTTGTGACAATATATTGCTTGCATGTACAATTAATTTAAATAATTTTTTTCAAAAGTAAAGATAAGGTTAGGTTTGTATTATATGCATAGATATGAGAAATTACGTACAAGTAATTTTGATAAAATTAAATAATTTCTCACTTTTTTTTATATAATATACTTACCAAGATTTGTTCAGGATTTTATTTCTACATAAAAAATAATATTTTATCGAAGAAATGAGGTATTTAACTTGAACTTTCTGCTACAAGATTTGAACTCGGATACTTGGCCTTGTACCATTCTCGCAATGTAATACAAGCAGAGTATACGAGCGTATAGTATAACTGGACTAAAACGCGCATGCGTTTTGGTACGTTGCACGTTCAAATAAAAAGTGTTGATAATTATTCACATAGAAACAGCATTGCCGTTGTATATTATCGATCGCAGTGGTATCCAGTAAAAATAAATGTGCGAATATTATTTGAAAATCCACGTAACTACTTCGTTACTGTATTTCATTGTAAGACTTAACGAATATTTTATAACTTGTTCGATCTATTATGTAATTTGATATCGATCGATGAATTTTTCAAGTAAAAAATACAATCGTATCAGCTACTTTTGTATACTGTTTTGGGATAGCAAGTACACAAAATAAACGTACGAATAAAATTTAACATAAAATAATAGGTTGTAGGTAACTTTTATTTTTCATTTTTTTATAAATTTAAACCATTCTCCTGAGAAGTTCATTAATTTTATCTTCACGGTTTCCAAAATCACCACCCTCAACGTAGTGGTTAGTCTTCTTGCGCCACCCACCATTGGGTGTGTTAAGCTAAGAAATAGAAAGAAAATAATTAATTTTCTAAAGGCAAAAGTAGTGTGGAAGACCGTACGGTATTCAGTTGCTGCTAGAATTGTTTGAGTTCGACTAAGAAACGCAGTAATACATGCGCGTCACGAAGAGAAACTCGTATTACTGTACGACATAGTAGGAGGTTAGTAGAAGAAGAAATATTTCTACAACCATGCCTATGTCGTGATCGAAAATTTAGAGATAGATTTACCTTGAATGGCCATAAGAAGTTACTCGCATACTTGAATTTTGATCCAACCGTGAATATTTCATGGATCAAGTCTTCCGTGCAGATAATACCGGAACGGCCTGAAAAATTCATTCCGCATATTATTAAGATAGTATATAATGAAAGATGTAATTATTGATTACATGTTGGAAATTGTAAGAATAATTGCAAACCTGAATATAAAACGTATGAAAAGGCTTTTCAAATATTCTGTTACTCTTTGACAAAGTAGAAGGGAGCAGTATATGGTAATCGAATACAACTTCCATAGATTCGTCAATAAATAAAACTAGTATGAAATAATCGTTAATAAATTTTGACTGGCAAAGGAATCTAACATTGTAATTTGTTATTTAAAAATAAAGTTTTCTGGCATACACTAACCAAGTTTCTTTTCGATGATAGCATTGCTCGTGATAGGAATACGTTGCCTATTTATTTTAGCAAATCCTCTCTTGTAAATCAATTCACGAACTGACTTTAGGTTTGGATATCCCCATGTGATGTAAGGCTCAACAATACGAAGCATGTTAATCGTTGCCTTGTTCAGTTTCACGAATACACCATTATTGATCTGCTTCAGGCGGAATAATTGAAGTACTTTGCGTACTTTCGGAGCAACTTGATTCACACTGAAAAATTTTTATGTCGGACAATATACTTTGAATATGCTACAGTCGCAAGCTAACAGCAAGAGGTAAATTACACTTACCCCCGAATACGAATAACAAACGCTAGACGAGCTTCTCCAGGAATGTAGTAATTTCCACGATTCTTAGCTTGTCTTCTTAATCTGATTTCATCCCTCTCCTTCGTTCTGTATTCTTTAACATATTTTTCCGCCCTTTTGAAAATTTCCTTCCTTTTCTTGTAACGATTCGCACGTTGCTGAAAGTTGGCAAAATTATTTTTATTAAAAGATGCACGATGTAACGAAACAGTAAAGTATTAGAAAAGTTCATTAAAATTACAAGAAAGTACTTTAATAGAAATTTGAAGACGCGCAGCTCTAACTGCTTCGCGGGTTTTCCTCCTCTTGAGTACCGACTCTGGTACTGCCGGTAGCTTTTTAGCTACGGGCTCAGTTTCTTTCTTCCTGTACAAAAAATGTAAAATTTATTACCACGAACGAACGTATGAAAATAAGAAACAGTTTGCATAGTATACAGAATAGTTAGGTTAGGTTCTCCCGAGCAATATAAAACAAGATTATTTGAATTAACACATGTTTCAATTTCATTCATTCGAAGACAAAAATGAGTACTTATTTTGAAAATCAATAAAACTTTTAGGGACAACAAATTGATTCTATCATGTCTCATGTTGATCGGTTGTAGGACTTTTAAACGAAACGTAATAATCTGTAAATTTCAAAGAAAGTCCAAAAATCACAGTATACACACGGTATAGAAATCAGAAAGAATTTATAATAACGTATTTTAAAATCGTAATAGTTGTATGAGCATGCGATGTTTTCAGATATCGTTAAGACTGGAATAGCACTTACATGTCCGCCATTCTATCACTTGGTAAAGAAATTTTTTTATCCTCGTTATTCTGAAGTTAACCGTGATTCGTCTAGTTCCTTTCTTAAAGGCGAGGAAGTTGAAACTACTGTTTTACCTATATAGGTTAAGTGATAAATAACAAGAGAATTAGTTTTATAATAAATTAGGAATGTCTGTATCTTTCATATCACACAGATTAAAAACGAATACATTACGGATACAATTACGCAATATTAATGTATTTCATTTCGTGAAATAGGAATCCTTACTAGGAATTTTAATAAAAGATATGGCGTATTATCAGCCAATCAACGACGATCTTTTAGTCGAAGCATGAAGTATTGTAGGATTTAACAAAAAAGAATTGTATTTGGAACAAATGTACAAATAATATAACTAAATGAACGAATTTGAAACACAACAAGCACACAATCTCATTAATTAAAACACTCTCAACTCTTTTGCACATAAGTTAACATTACTTCAAACTACAGCGTGACACAAACATTCAACACAATTATCCTACATTCGGCCATACTGACCTTCATCCGCCTCGGATGAATATACTTAATGTTTAGCATTTATGTCAGTAATTTTCGATAAAGAACGGTGGCTTTTGCTTTTTAACAAATTGTAACCCCCAAAAATCTAACCCCCCAAAGACCCAACACCTCAGGCTAGGGGATTTAGGTCCGGGGGAGTTAGTATGAATAACTCCCTAGTTACTCCCGCAGATGGCGCGATTGGCGCCGATGCCAACCGTTGAGAGAGGCCGGGATGCTATAGGGAATTTGTCCCTAGGTACTCCCTGGGGTCTCGAGAGACAAGAGAGAATCAGGAGGTCTTCCCCGAGCAAACCTGAGAGACGGTTCAATAATATTATGTGTTTTGATGTATTCATGTATCACTGTTACGTTAATGATTTCAGTTAGTGCATCATTAAAGAATACACCGTCAAATTGTATGACCGTCAGTGGACAATGTCGACCGGCTCCACTAATTCCGTGCGTTCCAGACGCGTCGCAGTTATACGATTATTGTGTGAAAATTCTGTTGAAACTTGATAACACTACCAGCGGACACTTTAGCCGGCCATCGTGACCGATTTTCGAAACAATTCTATGAACCGAAGAAGTTGTACAACACCGTAAAACAAAGACAGTATTTTAAGCATCTTATAACGACGCCTGCGTTACCGGAGGTAAGATTTTTGGAATTAAATTTATTTTTAAACAGAATTTAGTGATTTCTTAAAACAATGATAATCTCTATAACGTTTATCCGGATGCTATAGTATCCGGTAGGATTAGCATAGGTAGGATACGAAGGAATGGTTTCTGCCATAAAATGCTCATAAAAGCTGAAGAATCCTCCAAACTTTTTGATACAATCCGAGTTACGAACGTACATGACGCCGAGGGTGGTATCGCCACCAGAAGAATCTTTAGATACCGATACGGTGGTGGATAGTCTCATCGATACTTCCGTTACGAGTTCATTACCAGGCGATGAATTAGATTCTACGTGAAACGGTTCAATCTCTCCGGATGCATTAGCGGAAAGGTAAACTTAAATAAAGTGCGAATAGAAAATGTTAATACAATCTCCTTGCATGGAGCCATACTCTCCATTTTCCTCGAGTTTAAAGAAGAACAGGGTCAAAATAGACCCTTAGAGCAGCAGGGTCAAAATAGACCCTTAGAGCAGGGTCGAAATAGACCCGTAGAGCAGGGTCAAAATAGACCCGTAGAGAAGGGTCAAAACAGACCCATAGAACAGGGTCAAAATAGACCCTTAGAACAGGGTCAAAATAGACCCGAGACTAAATAACTACTTCCTGATTTCTTATCTAAAATAGTCACTCACTTTTGGATATCGTTTTTTGACCATAAAATATAAAAGTGCTTACTTATGCTAGTTCGTAAGAAGCATTTCCGACGCGGATATCATTGTACTTTTTCAGTGTCACGCTCTATGACGTCGCTTCTCGTCTCGAGATATCTCGATGTTCGTTAATAATATATCGATAAGAGTGCATAACGAGTCAGTTTAATCAGGAAGGTAGGAATATTGTAATTTTCATAGTTTTTAATATCATAAGAAAATATTCATGCTCGTTAGGTGTATCCTCGTATGTAACAGAAAGCCGAAGTGGAGAAGCAAATTGGGTTATTAAAAATGTGAGAAGAAAAATCGGAACGTCGAACCGTTTGTAGCGGAACGCCGACTGGGCGAGTTAATAGAAGGTGAAGATATAACTGAACAGGAAAGTCGAAAAGCTATCGAAGGACAAGAGGATTTGGACGATATAAAAGAAGTAAATACCACGAAAGGTGAAAATTTGGTTAATACCTTTCTTTTACTAGATTTCGATTCCTGTAAAAGTGTAATATTTTAGGCGTTGATTGGGAAAAATGATTTTCTAACTTGTAAAAAAACGGCTTTAGAAGGCGATCTACATGATTTATTAGCCGAGAAAGAAGAATGAGATTTAAAGATGGGGAAATTGGAAGTTGAAGGTGAACGGTGCCGTAATGAAACGAATATGCATGCCGATACCATGTTGTATGAATTATTGCGTAAGTATTTAAATTTATTCGATAATAAAATGGTGAATGGTTTATGTTGATATCTCTGATAGAAAGGTGTATTTTTATTTCAGTAAATTGCATCTCCGAAGCAGAAGATATTATCGAATATTCATTAAACGGTATCGATAATCCAGCGACGTCAGACCTAACTTGTACTCCTCAATACTCATTAAAAGTGCAATACACGTTGCATATGTTTTGGGTCTTTATTCAATACATGGAAAATCTACATGAAACACATCTATTGATATTGCATCGGGCGATAGTAAGTTACGAAAGTTAAAAAATGTAGAAAAAAAAAAATGAAGAAAGTCATATATATTATTTTGAATTTTATCGTGTTGTAGAATCGACCGACGAATGTAAACAGTTGGGAGTTGGAAGTTTGGTAGAGGCAGAATTGTTAAGTATGGATAAAGCAATAGAAGAAGCTGGTAATCGAATACAGGTAATCGCATATTACATTTTAGTGTAATATATAAATTGTTTTTATCCATGGTTATGACATATTTTATGATCAGGACATGGTGGAGAAATCTCGCGCTGGTGATTCCGGGTTAAAATTAGAAGTGAACGGAAAAATGTTAGATTCATGTACAGAATTAATGGAAGAAGGAAAGGTACGTCGCTTATTTTGACCGTTAATATTTAATTTATGAATATTAAATATGGAAAGAGATTTTGAACCGTAGGGCACAGCCTCTGCAACCGAATTCTAGAAACGTAACCATCAATGGTCCGAAGGGCTGATATCAGCAGCGAAGGCGGTTGCATTTGGTGGTAATCTTTTATTGTAAGTGTAGAGGATTTATTTCGGTTTTTGTTTGTTATTAAACCGTAAAATTTGTTTACGCGTGTAGAGAAGCAGAGTAAAAGCAATAACTTGGCTGCACTGTCAGAGGCATCGAGAGACGTAACACAAGCAACTGGAAGTGTTGTTGCAATTGCTAAAAACTGTAGCCATCTTGTGGAAGAGAATGGTAATTGTAGTTACTACTCGTTATACACTATTTGGATAAGGATGATAAAGAAAATAAGCGTTAAAGTTGTTAAGTATTAGAAAGAGTGAATATTTTTAACGATTTACAGATGGAGGCACTTACGCCGCTATCATTATCAACTGGAAGGTGAAGAAGAATGATCGGTACGTATTACCGAAGAATATTAAATAATACACTTTTTGGTTTTTGAATAATTCGATTGAAATTAAGAATCAAAAGAAATGACAATGTTTCATCGACATGAAGCAGTATGGAAGAAAATGTTTAGAAATGGAAAGTAAAGAGATTCCATTATAAAATAATATATTACGAGAACAGATTTATTTAGGTTGTCCAAAATGAATTATTGTAATCGAATGGCTACAGAAAAGTTACCGTTGAAAATGTAACTGTACCTTTTCTTTAAATGGAAACCTAGAAATGTAGTTTCTTATGTTGTACATAAAAGTACCAACATACTTATGCCCTGAACTTATTCGTTAGGAAGTTATCGAAGATAAATGAACTTGTAAAGTTGCAGTAAGAACGTATGGTTGAGTTATTAGAAAAGTAATGAAATAATGTGGTTTTTCATAAATTAGAATATACATTTGTCCTTTGTTTAAAGTGTATCCTCATCTGGGAAAAGTAGTTGTTATGTAATCGACCTATCATTTATTTGCTGAAATTGAGAGACAAGTGAGGAAAAAATGAGATCTTTAAACGTTGAAATTCGCAAGTTGCACCTTTTTTTTGTTTTTTATTATCATAGTCATATCAGTATTGTAGTAAAGTAGCGATACATGCATATGTATCGGAAGTTATGAGACGATTTAATTAGTACATATATGTGGCGTCACCTCAC